CCATGTCCATACCTCCCTACCCAGTGACCTGCTCAGCCCTGGTGCTCGTTTCACCCCCCAGCGAGTCCCACTCATGCAGAGTGACACCCCCGTCCCTTACAGAGCTGCAGTGACACAAAGGGCAGGGGACACCGGTCCTCACCTGGCGGCATTTCTCAGTGGTGATGTCCTCCTGCAGAGTCACTACGTTGGGAATGGGCTTGATAGGAACCAGATCCACTCCTGATGTAAAGAAGAGGTGTGAACAACGCACGTTAACACTACGCTCCAGCCCATCACAGGTGTTTCCCAACCCACCACCTCACTCACCAATGACCAAGCTGGAGACTGGCATGAATTTGGAAGCCACCTGCAGCCTGCAAGGAACAGAGAGGATCAAAGGCACCGTGAGATCTGAGAAGAGCCCTCAATCCCAACGGGTGCAGCCATGGCCTCTGACACAGAGCAGCCACAACAGAAAGCAACGAGGCTGCTTTGCAGCAATGTCCCAGGGCAGCACGAGTCCCAAAGGCACTCACCACCCGCCGGGGGCTGCGCACAGGTCCAGCAGCGCTCGTGCCTTCTGCAGGAACTGGAACTTCCTATTGAGCTGCAGCAGCTTGAAGGCGGAGCGGGAGCGGAACCCTGCGGGAGGGAGGCGGGGGGGTCAGGGGCTGCCGAAGCGCTGCTCAGCCGGGCCCGTAGGAAGCCGTGCTCACCCGTCTCCTTGGCCAGGTGGTAGAACTTGTCCCGCCGGCTCTTCCCCACTTTGCTTTTCTTGCCCATGGCGGCGGAGCTGGGGCCTGCTCTCCCTTACTGGCACCGACCTAAGGAGGCAGAGGAGTGAACGCAGCCCAGGATCCCCTCCCGGCATCGCACGACAACCCCGCTACCCCGCACTGCCCCCAACGCCCCGCAGGCTCCGCGCCGCTTTCCACCTCCCCGCTGCCTGCACAACAAACCCGATCCCGGCTCCGGCAGCTCCTCGTGCGCACAGCGCCGTCCCGTCGTGCCCCGCGCCGCCCGCTCCACTTCCGCTTCCGCTCAGCTCTCAGCGCCATCTTAGGAAGGGAGCCCCGCATTGCTTTACAACCGCCGCGGGGTTTACACAGTCTCGAGAGCGGGGCAGCATGGCTGAGTGCGTTCCTCAGGAGTTACTTGGATTCTTCTTCCCACCACCCCGCACTTCATGAAATGAAGAAACAAGCTCTGACCTTACCAATATGGCGGAGGCGGACGAACTACTGTTGCGCACGCGCACTCCGGCAGGGCCTCTCTGTACTACGCATGCGCATCTTGAGCTTTCGCGTTGGGGAACAGGTTACGCATGCGCAATCTGCTAGCTTTCACAGTACGCATGCGCTGTCGTTCCACTCACGTACCGGAAGTGATGCCATCGCGTCCTGCGCGCGGGGGGCGGGGAGCGGAAGTGGAGCGGTGGCCATCTTTGGTGCCGGCAGCAGCGGCGCCGGGGTTCGATGCCGGCGGAGAAGATGGCGGTGGACGGCCCCGAGCAGGTATGGCCGGGCCGGGCGGTGCTCTCGGGCTGCAGGTGCACGGCTCCGGTGTGCCTGAGTCCGGCCGCGAAGCTCTGAGGAGATCGGGCCCGATTGCGGCCTGCTGGGCGCCGTGACTCGGCGGGCGGTGGGGGCGGCTGCAGGAGGGGATGTGAGGATACGGGGCTGAACGGAGCGGGTGGGAGAGTGTGGAGGAGAGCGGCTGTGGGACGGGGCTGGGCCGACCTTACTGAGTGTGCTCTCCTGCAGATGGAGATGGACGATGGGAAGGGCGGCACGGGGCTGCGGCAGTACTACCTGTCCAAGATCGAGGAGCTGCAGGTGAGCCGGGGCACGTTGTGTTGTAAGGACCTTAAACATCATCCAGCTTCAGCCCTCTGCCATGGGCTGGGTGCCCCCACCTTCTTCTGGCCTTGGGAACTTCCACGGATGGGCCACCTGCTGCCCCAGGGTCTCACCTGAGAAAAGAATTTCTTCGGAACATCTGACCCAAGTTTCCCTTCTTTTAGTTTAAGGCTGTTCCTCTTTGTTGGGTCATTATTAGACACTACAGAGCCAATCCTCCTCCTGCTTGTAAGCTCCTTCCTTGTACTGAAAGCCTGCAGTGAGGTTTCCCCACAACCAAGATGTTATCCAGCCATTGGCAGTGGGGTTTGGCTGAGTACATTATACTGGGAAGGATTGTGCTTCCCTCCTGCTTGTCCCAGGACAATAACTTGTTTCTCATGCTGGCGCCTGCTTATTGCTTTGTGTGTTTTGTTGGTTTGAGTGCTGTGTAGGATGCTGAGAACTCAGCAAAGCTCCTTTCCTTACACAGCTCATAGTGAATGAGAAGAGCCAGAATCTGCGGCGCTTGCAAGCGCAGAGAAATGAGTTGAACGCTAAAGGTAAAGCTCAGTTCCTCTCAGCATCCTTACCTGAGGCTCTGTGGCCAGCCCTGCTGTGGGACAGGAGGCTCCCAGCCCAGCTGGGGGTGCTGCCCACTCAATGGGGGCTTTGGGTCTCCCCATTTGTCTGCTGATGTTCCCTTCTCTCTGCAGTGCGGCTTTTGAGGGAGGAGCTGCAGCTGCTGCAGGAGCAGGGCTCCTATGTGGGCGAGGTGGTGAGAGCCATGGACAAGAAGAAAGTGCTTGTGAAGGTATGGAGCTGAGCTGCCCCAGGGCTTGCTCCTGCTAGCAGCTGGCTGGAGAGGGATAGATTGTTCCTTTGTCCCTACAAGAGCACAAGCTCTGCAGAGGGTGTAGTAATTAGAAAAATGTGAAGTGAGAGGTAGGGTGGCTACCCTTCCTGAGGGTAGGATGGCTGTGAGGTGTTCGGTGGTGGCTGAGCTTTCGGGCCCCTTCATGGTGTGGTGGGTGGGACATGCAGCCAGGATTCTTGAAGGGAAAAATAAGTTTAGTGGTGTTAACTGCTGTGTTCCAGGTGCACCCAGAAGGCAAATTCGTGGTGGATGTTGACAAGAACATTGACATTAATGATGTGAGTGTCTAAAAGCTGTGGGAGGGGCATCATGGCTCTCTCCAAATTGATTGTTCCCTTCTCTGGTGTGGGGCTACTTGGAAGGGTCGTCCAGTGGCCCATCACTGAGCTCTTCCCTCTGTTCTCAGCGCAGGTGACCCCAAACTGCCGCGTAGCTCTGCGCAACGACAGCTACACGCTGCACAAGATCCTGCCCAACAAAGTGGACCCTCTGGTGTCTCTGATGATGGTGGAGAAGGTCCCGGATTCCACTTATGAGATGATTGGAGGGTTGGACAAACAGATAAAGGAGATCAAGGAAGTGATTGAGCTGCCAGTCAAGCACCCGGAGCTCTTTGAAGCGCTGGGGATTGCTCAGCCCAAGGTAAATCCTATCTGGAGTTCCTTGGGTATGGCTGCTTACCCAGCAGTGGTACTGAGCTCATCCCTTGGTGCTTCCAGGGCGTGCTGCTCTACGGACCCCCTGGCACTGGGAAGACCTTGCTGGCCAGAGCTGTGGCCCACCACACTGACTGCACCTTCATCCGCGTGTCGGGCTCCGAGCTGGTGCAAAAATTCATTGGTGAAGGTAAAGGGGTGTGGCACAAAGCTGCTGCTTGTGCCAGGGTGACCTGTAGGGTTCTCATGGTGCTGGGTGACCTTGGGACTGGCCTGCAGGGGACGAGAGTCTTCTGTGTGGGGTGCTGAGCAGGCTGAGGGTGCGCAGTGTGAGATTCAGCTCTCTGCTCCCTGCAGGTGCCCGCATGGTGCGGGAGCTGTTTGTGATGGCCCGGGAACACGCTCCCTCCATCATCTTCATGGATGAGATCGACTCCATTGGCTCCTCCCGCCTGGAGGGTGGCTCTGGTGGGGACAGCGAGGTGCAGCGCACGATGCTGGAGCTCCTCAACCAGCTCGATGGTTTTGAGGCCACCAAGAACATCAAGGTAGGGGTGTACTGTGTCGGGTTGAGCCCTGAGCTGCCTGAGGATGGGACAGTGCCCTGCTGGCCCCATGATGGCAGCAGGGTGACCATTGTGGTGACAGTGGCTGCTCTCCTGCTGCAGGTGATCATGGCCACGAACCGGATCGACATCCTGGACTCAGCTCTGCTGCGCCCCGGCCGCATTGACAGGAAGATTGAGTTCCCCCCTCCCAATGAAGAGGTTGGTGGGTGGCCTCACAGTGGGCCTGGGGTCTCTCTTCGTCCCCTGCTGTGCTGATCCTCTCCCTAGGGGGACCACATTGTCTCTAGCCCTGTCAAGGTACAATTCCTGTGGCTTCCCCCCTTGTCTCACTGCTGTTGTTCCCCCCCAGGCCCGCCTAGATATCCTCAAAATCCATTCCCGGAAAATGAACCTGACACGTGGCATCAACCTGAGGAAGATTGCAGAGCTGATGCCAGGGGCATCGGGTGCAGAAGTGAAGGTGAGCTGGGTCCTGCAGCAGCCTTGGGGGCTCCACAGTGCTCTCTGTCCTCACTTGGGAGCTCTGGGACAATGTGGGCCACCTATGTTCTTTACAGGGGGTGTGCACAGAAGCTGGCATGTACGCACTGAGGGAGAGGCGGGTGCACGTCACACAGGAAGACTTTGAAATGGCTGTTGCCAAGGTAAGTGCTGCAGAGCAGCTGCTGGCTGCTTCCTCTCAGCTCTGGGAGGCAGAAACTCCTGGCCAGCTTTTGGCAGGACTTGAGGCTGAACAAGAGTGTTAGGGGTGCTTGGTGCAAGAGATTGCCTTTCCTCGGGGAAGGATGAAAGCTCTAGAACCTTCCCTGTGCAGGGCTGGAGGTTGCTTTTAAGGGCAGTTTGTGGAGTTACTTGAGGGGAAACGGGAGCTGTGTGCTGGGCACCAACTGTCCCTTGCTTATATCCAGGTGATGCAGAAGGACAGTGAGAAGAACATGTCTATCAAGAAGCTGTGGAAGTAAGGGTGAGCTGGGGGCTGTGTTGTCTCTAATAAAGTGCTGCTTTGCCCACATCTGTGCATTGATTTGGGTACAGGGGCCGCAGCACTGGAAGGAATCCCACCACACACATGCAGAACTGCTGCTAACTGGTTTTATTAGAAAATAATCCAAAATAGACAAAACGGTTACGCAAGAGGCAGAGCAGGCACCCCTGAGCCATACACCCTGGGAATATGTAAACACCCCCCTTCCCCCCTCCTCCCCCCCACCTGTGACCGCCCCCAGAGGAAGCCAGGCTGCCCTACAAGGAAAATGTGGGCATGGGGCCAGCAGGGTAAGGCACTTCAATGGGTCTGGTGGGTGGTGTACTGTCCCCTCCGCCCCAGTGCAGTGGCCCCACACTCCAGCCCCCTGCCCCAAGCATCTCCAGTTCTCAGAGCCCTGGGGGAGGCCCTGCTGCCCGCAGGCTCCTGGGGACAGAGCTACCCCCCCATACCTCGTATCAAGCACAGGACAAGTCACTAGGTGTGTAAAACAACAGCAGGGGGTGGAGTAATCAACTGATTGTCAAGAACTCAACGCTAAAAACTCAGTTACATACAAAAAGAACAGTTTGGGCAGAACGAGCCCACTGAGAACACCATGAATCACTGCATAGTTTGAGGTGATGAGTGCAGTAAGAGGAACTCAATATATTAATCAAATACAAACCCACTGTACAAAATGCTTTTTTCTTTCTTTTTTTTTTTTTTTTTTTATAAAACCTGTTCACAAAAATAGTGCAAAACATCGGCCACCAGCAGGGCTGGCATTTGGAATGACAAACTTTGGTTGAAGAGGGGCAGGGCTGGGCCTGCCCTCACGGTGGTGGGGAGGGCTGGCAGGGCAGTCAGCAATGCCAGGAGGGCTTTGGCCAGAGGCAGGGCAAGAAGGGGATGGGACAGAGCGTGCTCGCAGAGGGCTGCATTCATTGCTGCTACAGGCAGAGGCAAACGGCGCAATGCAAAAGCAAGGACATGTTAATGCAGCAGGACTAGGGGCAGGGAGAATCAGGGGACCCTCTGCTGCTCTGCCTGTGGCGAGAGCTTCCTGGCTGAGGGGAGCCCAGGGGTACGAGCGGCTCCAAATCCCTCCAGGCACGTAGGGTTTGTGCAAGTGCTGTATTTGATTCCAGTAAGAAGTACCGTCAGGCTCAGGCAGCAGGGAGAGGAGGAGGAGAAGGAGCTCCTGAGCCCTGCTGGCCTCTTAAGTGAGGCGGATCCCAAGCACTTGTTCCAGTTCCTGCCGACGCTGCTGGACCTGGAGGAGGCGAGGGGGGTCAGGCAGGGCTTAGGGCAGACACTGTCCCTCTCAGAGGACCAGCTCCTTCTGTACAATACAAGCATTCCCTGCTCCCCGGTTTCAGCCTCCCTGCTGCCATCTCAGCCCAGAGGAGCACCCCGCCAGCACAGCACAGAACCCACCTTGGCAAAGATGTGTCTGCCCACAGCCTCCTGCGCCCAGGGCTGTTGGTAGAACTCGGCTCGCCGCTCCTCCTCCGGGTTCCCGATCACATCTGTTATAATCTGAGCAAAGCAAAGTGTAAGAGGGTGAGCACTATGGCTGGCTCCTGCTCGGTCTCCCTGCCTCTCACCCTGCCCCACCATCCCGTTCTACCTTGAGGTCCCTCCTCTGCGATTTGATCCACTCCTGGATGAAATCCTGAGGGTTGTTGCTGAAGCTCAGCATGAAATCGCGCTGCGTCTTCAGCTGGTTGATGGATTCAATGGTCTCATGGATCTGCAGCAATGGCACAAGGTGAGAGAGAGTTCTGAGTGACTGTGTGGGAACTGGAGTTCATGCCAAGCCCCCAAAACAAGACACAGCTGGCACCAAGCTCCCCCAGCTCAGATACTGGGGAGCCCTGGAGGGGGGGATCCCCACACCTTGGCATCCAGTGAGGCGATCTCCTGCTGGTTGGTGGTGGAAGCCAGGAAGTTGCTCATCTGAGCTTTCAGGGGGTCATCCACCTCCACGTCAATGTCATAGCAGGCAGTCTTCTTCTGGTCATTGGGGTCCACGCTGGGAGGAGGCAGGGTGTTAAGGGAACCTCTTCAGGCTCAGAGGCAGATTAACCACCCCCAAAAGCAATACAAGTGTCCCAACAACTGCCCTGAGGAGCTCCCAAAGGTGTTGGGCTGATTCTTCCCCTCCCAGTGACCTGTTTTGAGCTGGACATCTTGCAGCACCTGCTGCCCTACATCCTCAGCAGAGAGGAACCCATTGCTCCAGGCAGTCCATCCCCACCCCCAGTGGTATTGCCCAGCACTCCTCCACCCCCTACCTGATGGTGTGGTTGATGATGATAGGATCTGGGTGCTGCAGGAGCCCTGCCAGCTTCATGGGGATCTCAGAGAAGCGCATACGGACACAGTTGAAGATCTGCAGGGGTAGAGCAGAGCATTAGCTGCCAATGTCAGGGGCTCCTCCCACCCACCAGAAAGGGTTAAGCAGGAGCAAGGTTTCACTCGGCCCCATTTTATGCGTGCCAAGCTGATGGATGCACAACACGGGGAGAAGGACAGCAACCACTCCAAGCCAGGAAAAATGCTTTTCTTGATTTTGAAGGATGGAAATGGTGCTTTCCTCTCATCAGAGACCCACATAATTACAGCAG